CCGGGGCCGGGGTCTTGGCGGGGTCCTTTTGTGGGGGCGGGTGCCAGAGGGAGAGCCGGCAGGTTCCCAGCTCCTGTACCGGCCCGGTACTTGCGGGCTGGAGCGGTGGCAATCAACCCAGGTACCTTGCCCAGGTCAGGGTGGTCCTCCTCCCACCAGCACCCCAGGGCGCAATCCCTGGGTTGGGAAGGCGAGGCAGACCCGGCGGAGCGCCGCAGAGACTGGCTCTTGAGTGGTGCGACCCCAGGGGTCCGAGAGGAAGCTTCCCCGCCCCCACCCCCTCGCGGCTGGAAGCACAGCCTGCAGGGAGATCCCTGGTGATCCCGAGAGCTGGCTCGGCACTCCAGCAGCCTCGCAGCCCGCAGGCGGGGAGTGTCTCCTAGGAGCCTGTTGGAGGAACAGGATGAGGCCCTGGTCATTTCCACGCCCATCCTACCCACTTCCTGCCTCCCTTCTTGGGCAACAAAGGGGCCTTGCAAAGCCGGACCCCTTAGGTTCCCAGCCCCACTCCGGCCCTGCTGCTGTGTAATGGGGTTTTGGGCCCTGCCCGAGCTATTGTCTACACTGGGGGAGGGGACAGATGGGGACCAGCACCTCCACATGCCTGCTTCACCGAGTGTGCATATGGGGAGGGGTGGGGGGCGTCCTTGCCAAGCACCTGCCCCCAGGTACCTCCTCCCAGCAAGCAGTAAGGGGCTTTGCATCCCAGAATTAGGTTTGTCTTGGCGCTGGCGTGCGGACCCAGTCAGTGGAGCCTGGCCCTGCTTCCTGCGGCTCTTTTCAGAAATCCCCACACCCTTGTTTAGGCCTGGGTGTGAGAGAAGGGGGGTCCCTCTTTTTAATATATTTTTGAAACAACTTCCTGTTGAGCAGGGGAAGGGCCTGGAGGCCAGAGAGGCGTTGTGTATTCTGGGAGATGGGAAGTGTCCACTCCTGCAGCTGACTCAGGTCCTCCCCCTCCCCCCAGGGAGATCCCAATCTTCAGGGGTCTGGAGCCAAGCGGAAGCGTTTTTCGTTTTAAGCCTCCTCTCCAAGGAGAGCGCTCAGGGTGAAGCCGAGGGGGGCTTTTGAGAGCGCTGGTAAGGTCAGCCCTCAGTCAGGGCTGCTGGGGTGGGTTTCTGAGAGCCCCCCCATCCAGGACAGACAGAATTTCTCTAGCTGTGGTCTGACCCTTTTTTTTCCCCCAGCAGGGCAGCTGGCCTGGAACACAGACCTGGGGTGTTTGCCATGGCCCCACACTGGGCTGTCTGGCTGCTGACAGCAGGGCTGTGGGGCCTTGGCATCAGGGCTGAGGTGTGGTGGAACCTTGTGCCCAGGAAGACTGTGTCCTCTGGGGGTGAGTGCCCAAAGTCTTGAGGAGCGTGTGGGAAGGCTGGAAGGGAAAAGGCATGCTGTCAGGAAATACAGGGGCAGCTAAGGAACTGCCCGCCAGCCCCTGAAGTCCTTATTCTGCCAGCAGACTGCGGGACACTTGTGCATGGGAAGCGGCTTTCTAAGAAAGCTGAGAGGGGCCCCAGACTCAGAACTGGTGGTACAGATGAGGCCTGGACGGGCCTCCTGACACTCAGTAGCTCTGGGAAACCGCTGACCGGCTCTCTGTCAGCAGCCCCTCTGCTGCTTTCGTGCACACCAGAGAGAAGAGTCAGCCACACTCCCCACACCTTCTGTGTCACTAGCCCTGGGAGCCCAAAGTTAGGAGGGAACTGTAAGGTGCATTCCCTCTGGACTCTTTCTAGCTCTCTCCTTGCCCTCAGGAAGCCCTCTTACAGACCTAAAGAATGCCTCTGGTGACCCCGGTGGGGACGGTAGATGGGCAGAGCAGGCCTGCAGCCCTCCTGCACTCACCTGTACAAAGTGGTGATGTCAGGTGTTTGTATCCTCACTGCTCTCTGGGGACCTGGGATGAGCTCACCTCCCCTAGGCTCCGCTCCTGTGCTAATGAAGCCCTCCCGTGCTGGCTGGCTCGGGCTTATCCTGGGCCCCAAAGACCAAGGCTGGATTGGGGGAGACCCTTAGGACAGACTGGAACTATTTTAGGGATGGATGTAGAAAGCACGTGACATGACGGGGCAGCATGGCAGGGTGGCTTCCCACCTGAGGCTTCAGTACCATCTCTGGTCCCTAAGCCTCTGGCTGAGCCTACGTCTCTGGGCAGCTCAGGAAGCCCAATTTCCATCCCACTTGAACGTAGTGTTTCCAAAAAGGCAAGGAACGCCCGCAACTGTTCCGAACTTCCTGCCCTGCTTGCCCGAGGGCCAGGCCTAGCAGGGTCCTGACACGGACAGTTAGCAGCAGCGCTGAGAAACAGGCGGCCCTCGAGGAAGTCGGGAGGGGCACGTTCCCTGATGTGGAGCTGGAGGTGCCATTGACCCCAGGAGGGAGCGCAAGCCAGGGCCATCAGTCTGATGGCTTCCTCCGGCCGGAAGCTGTGGCTGAGACAGTTTTCCTTCCTCTTCTCCAGCCCGGAGCTGCCACCCTCCTAAGCTTAGCAAAGGCCAACAAGGGTCGGGTGGAGCTGTCAGCTGAAGGGCTATTCAGGAAATTTCACTGCCTGTCAGGCCTGGCTGCCATTAGCCAGTGGGGAAGCTGGCTAGGCGCTGGAGGTGGGGGCTATTGATTGTACCAAGGAGGCATCCGTGAAGGGGGAAGGCTGTTTTGGGGCCGGGAGGGGGTGAGCCTATGCCCCGCTCAGTGCTGCCATGTCCCTGCAGAGCTGGCAACAGTGGCACGACGCTTCTCCCAGCCGGGCATCCAGGACTTCCGGACCCTGACGCTGACCGAGCAGACGGGACTCCTGTACGTAGGAGCTCGAGAGGCCCTGTTCGCCTTCAGCGTGGAGGCTCTGGAGCTGCAAGGAACGGTGAGAGGTGGGGGCGGGGGAGGCATCGAGGCAGGAGAGAGGACAGGACTCCAGGTTGGGGGGGCCGGGCTTTGGTTGGGCAGGCTGCCCCCCGGCCCTGTGGGAACCCCGCTGGCCCCTGAGGCCAGCCCTGCAGCCAGAATTGGGCCTTACTTTCTCCCTGTTCTTGTGGCATTTCCTAAACGCCATCGTCGTTGAGGTGGGGCGTCTCCCCCACCAAATTCAAGCCCCCAGAAGGTGGTGTCCCCCAGGCTGCGCCTTCAGGCCGTGCTTGGTATGTGCCTGTGATGTCACTGACCTTTGACCTGTCCCCTCCCTGCCCCAGATCTCATGGGAGGCCACTGCTGACAAAAAGGCTGAGTGTATCCGCAAAGGGAGGAGTAACCAGGTGGGTGCTGGGGCTCTGCTGGGGGGTGGGGGTGGGGATGGGGGCAGAGCCCAGGGCTGCGTCTGCTCTCTCCAGCATTTTAGGGGAGTGGCGGTCCTTCCCTTTTCCAGTACCGCTCTGGGGCCCATTCTTCACTGTTGGGCCCCATGTATCAGGCCCCCAGACTCTTACTAACCGCATGCCTTCTGCATCCCCTCAGACGGAGTGCTTCAACTTCATCTGCTTCCTGCAGCCCTACAACGCCTCCCACCTGTACGTCTGCGGCACCTACGCCTTCCAGCCCAAGTGCACCTACATCGTGAGTGCGCCACCCTTCTCTGAACCCCCGGCCCCTCGGCACCCCCCCTTCCACATCCCCCTCACTGTCTCTCTGCCCCTTGCCCGCAGGACATGCTGACGTTTTCCATAGAGCGCGGACAGTTTGAGGATGGTAAGGGCAAGTGTCCTTATGACCCAAAGAAGGGCCACACCGGCCTCCTTGTGGGTGAGTGAGTGACTGTCCCCTGGGGGTCCTGCTCTGGGGCTGTGTCCGTTGTGCGCGTCTTTGGCTCACTTCGATCTGACCGACCGCCTGCCTCCCGTAGATGGTCAGATGTATTCGGCAACGTTCAGTAACTTCCTGGGCACCGAGCCGGTGATTCTGCGAAACATGGGGCACCACTACACCATGAAGACCGAGTACCTGGCCTTCTGGCTCAAAGGTAAGGCCTGCGGGCTGACGGCGGGACTGGGGGAGCCTTCCTGCATGGGCGGGACTACAAGGGCCTCGGGGGTCCCACCGCTGATCCCTTCTGTCCATACCCGCAGAACCTCATTTCGTCGGCTCTGCCTTTGTCCCGGAGAGCGTGGGCAGCTTCACGGGGGACGACGACAAGGTCTATTTCTTCTTCAGTGAGCAAGCCGTGGAGTACGACTGCTATACCGAGCAGGTGGTGGCCCGAGTAGCCCGGGTCTGCAAGGTACAGACCCCTCCCCAGGGGCAGGACCTGGCCTGGTAGCTGGCCTGGCCTGGCCAGGCTGACCGCCAGTGTCTCCTTGCCGTCTGCCTGCCAGGGAGACCAGGGGGGCTCCCGGATCCTGCAGAGGAAGTGGACCACCTTCTTGAAGGCGCAGCTGGTGTGCTCGGCCCCCGACTGGCAGCTGCACTTCAACCACCTACAGGCGCTGCACACCCTGCATGGCGCCTCCTGGCGCAACACCACCTTCTTTGGGGTTTTCCGGGCACGCTGGTGAGTGGCCGGGAATCGGAGCCAGTGGGAGGATGGGGGTGTGGGCAGGAGCAGGTGAGCGGGTGTGAGGACCTGGGCCCAGCCTCGTGGTCAGTTCCCCAGAGGCCAAGGACACCTGCCATTTGTGAAGGCGTGCTGGGCAGTGACCATAACGGCCAGCAAAGGCAAGGAGCACCCAAGGGTCGCCCTGAGCCGGAATGGCCTCACCAGTCACCGGGAGGGCTGCTCCCCATACCTGCCACGGGTTTGTGCTCCCCGCCGCCGCCGCTAGAGCATCCAACCTGAGCCTGGGGCCCTTCTTTCCGGCTCCAGGGGAGACATAGACCTGTCGGCAGTCTGCCAGTACCAGCTGGAGGAGATCCAGCGGGTTTTCGAGGGCCCCTTCAAGGAGTACCAGGAGCAAGTGCAAAAGTGGGGCCACTACACTGGCACAGTCCCCAGCCCCAGGCCGGGCTCGGTGAGTCCTTGGGGCAGTGGTGCGGGCCCGGCTCTCCACTCCAGTGTGTGCCCTGCTGGCTGGCCAGCCCAGGCTGACTGGCTCTCCTCCCGGCCCCCAGTGCATCGACAACTGGCACCGCCGCCACAACTACAGGAGCTCTCTGGAGGTGCCCGACAACACGGTCATCTTCGTCAAGAAGCACCCACTGATGGAGGAGCAGGTGGGGCCGCAGTGGGGCCGCCCTCTGTTCGTGAAGAAGGACGCCAACTTCACCCAGTTGGTGGCCGATCAGGTCACAGGGCTTGACGGCGCCACCTATACAGTGCTGTTCGTTGGCACAGGTTTGCAGTGGGCCCTGCTGGGGAGGGGGCTGCGTGTGACTGGGGCAAGGGCACCTGGCAATGGCTTGGGAGCCCCCAAGTCCACTCACCCTTGCCCTTTGCCCCCACCTTCCCGCAGGAGACGGCTGGCTGTTCAAGGCCGTGAGCCTGGGGCCCTGGGTCCACCTGATCGAGGAGCTGCAGGTGTTTGATCAGGAACCTGTGGGGAGCCTGGCCCTGGACCGGAGCAAGGTAGGGCATCTGAGCTCCTGCCCTCTCCCCCAGTGTGTATGGCTGGCCAAGACGGGGGGAAGCAGTGGGCGCGCACCTTGGGTGTTTGGAGCAAGTTCCTGGAAATAGGAGCACTGAGGAGTGTGGCTCCACAGGGTCACTTTATATATAGGCCCGTCCCCGTGGGAATGGGCTCCTAGAACTGAGCATTGAGCACCGGCAGCTGCTCCACCGTTTCCACCAAAGCCCCACGTGGTGCCAGTCGCTCTGGTGACAGCAGTTCTCTGCAGCTGATCACTCACTGCCCCCCTGCCTGGGCTGCCCGGATGTTTCTGGTGCCCTCAGCGTCTGTCCCGACCCTCTCACATGCTTGCTGGACCTGCCCCTCCCCGCCTGTGCCCGTGTCCCATAAGTGCTCACCGGTGGTTCCTCTTTCCTGGCGAGCAGGCGGGCAGCACCTCCTCAACGGTTGTTTGCCCATCTTCTGTTGGCCACTGTGACTGAGAATTGCTCCCCAGAACATGGAGTAATGGCAGAGAGGGCGAGAGAAAGACTGATTGAATAAACACATCAGCTAGGCAATCACCACGGGAACAGGAAGCCCGCTCATGCCGTGCCGGGGCTATTGTGTGGGCTCAGAGCGTTGAACAACCTGGATTTCCTGCACCGTTCATAGGGTAATGGGTAGTTTGCGTGTGATCAGACTGCTCCGCTCACAAGTGTTTCTCTAATAAGGTCATATCACTTAAGCACTTACGATGGCGTTTGCCTGCCTGTAAGACCTATGTATGTCCCAGAACCCTGCACCCTCCCTGGGACCTCAGAGTGGCTTCCCCCACCATCTTGTCCCTCCTTTGCTGCCTTGTGGCTTTGCGCCCCCCTCCAGGGGCTGAGCCTCCCCACTGTGCCCTGGTCTGGCCACCTCTCCTGGTGACCCAGCCTGACCCGCCCTCGATCCTCTGCAGAAGCTGCTCTTTGCTGGCTCCCGCTCACAGTTGGTCCAGCTGCCCCTGGCCGACTGCAGGAAGTACCGCTCCTGTGCAGACTGCGTCCTCGCCCGGGACCCCTACTGCGCATGGAACGCCAACACCAGCCGCTGTGTAGCCCCTGGGGGCCACGCTGGGTGAGTCTGGCTCTGTGTGTGTGGCATCTGGGAGGAAGGCCGGGATTGGCACCGGGATCCTGACCGATCGCTGCCTCTCCGGCCAGATCTCTTCTGATCCAGCAAGTGACCACCTCGAACACCTCAGCCATGTGCAACTATCGAGGCATTAAGAAAGGTGAGCTGACTTGGGGGAGCGGCCCTGGCCCCATCTCGCCCCGCGGCCCCGGGCTTCCTGCACTAACCCTCTTTCTCTCCGCCCTGCAGTCAGGCCCACTCCCAAAAACATCACCGTGGTGGTGGGCACAGACCTGGTGATGCCCTGCCGCCTCTCCTCCAACCTGGCCCATGCCCACTGGACCTTCGGTGGCCGGGATTTGCCCTCTGAACAGCCTGGCTTCTTCCTCTATGATACCCGGCTCCAGGCCCTGGTAGTGATGGATGCCCAGCCCCGCCATGCTGGGGCCTACCACTGCTTCTCCGAGGAGCAGGGCACACGCCTGGCTGCCGAGAGCTACCTGGTGGCTGTGGTGGCTGGCCTGCCGGTGACCATGGAGGCTCAGGCACCCCTGGAAAGCCTGGGCCTGGTGTGGCTGGCCGTCGTTGCCCTGGCGGCCGCGTGCCTAGTGCTGCTACTGCTGGTCTTCTCCCTGCGTCGGCGGCTGCGTGAGGAGCTGGAGAAAGAAGCCAAGGCAGCCGAGAGGACACTGGTATACCCTCTGGAGCTGCCCAAGGAGCCCACCAGCCCCCCCTTCCAGCCCAGCCCCGAGACAGACGAGAAGCTCTGGGACCCTGTTGACTACTACTACTCGGACGGCTCCCTCAAGATCGTACCGGGGCATGCCCAGTCCCAGCCCGAGACTGGGTCCTCTCCACCTTCGAGCATCCCGGGCCAGCCCCTGCCTTCTCTCACACAGCTTCACCTAGGGAGCGGGCGGAACTCAAGCGCCAACGGTTATGTGCGCCTACAACTAGGAGGAGAGGACCCGGACGGGCTCGGGCGCCCGCTGCCTGAGCTCTCCGATGATCTGAGGCGCAAACTGCAGCAGCGCCAGTCGCTGCCCGACTCCAGCCCCGAGGAGTCATCCGTATGAGGCGGACCCCCCACCACGTTGCGGGGGAGCGACGGCGTGGGAGGTACAGCTCCTACTTTTTGCACAGGCACCAGCTACCTCAGGGACATGGCAGGGGCCACCCGCTCTGCCTGGGGCAGAGCCTGCCATGAGGACCTGCCCCGCTCAGCACGGACACTGCCACTCGGTGTGACTCCCTAGGTCGCCAGACTCGCGGGGGACATCTTCCTCCTCGGTGAGGAGCTGTGAATCACAGAAACCCGGCACCCCAGCAGCCAAGACTTGTCCAGGCAGAAGTGTGTGACGTGCGTGTGCACATGTGTGTTCGTGCATAAATGTGTGTGTGTGTCACGCTTGTGTGGCATGGCTGCTGGCTTCTGTCAAGTCTTCCCTTGGCCTGGGGTCCTCCCGGTGAGTCTTCTGGAGCTATGAAGGGGAAGGGGCCAGGCCACCCTGCCTCTTTTACACCCCCCACCCCCATGTGAGGCAGGTGTGTACATATGGGGGTGGGGTGGGCAGGTGCCGAGCCCCTTTCAGGGGGAGTTAGGGCCCTCGGAGGGCACCGAGTCCTGACCCTAGGGCTGTGAATGTTTTCTGGGGGGAGGGGGGGTCAGGAGATGAACAGCTTGTGTGTTTTGGGGGGAGGGGCCTCCCACATGGGCCCTCCCTCCAGGTTCAGTGGTATTTTATACTTGTCCTCCCTAGTGGGCTGGGGAAGGTTGGGGGTGGGAGTGGGAGGGAGAGTGGACAGGCAGGCCGTGGACCCTGGCACAGCCTTTCCAAGCCCCAGGAGGAGGGCTCCTGAGCAGTGTAACTTATTGCGTCCCTGCGTATTTATTTGTTGTAAATATTTGAGTATTTTTATATTGACAAATAAAATGGAGAAAATGATCCCGTTGCTGTGACTGAACTTCGACACAGGCTCAAACCTTCTGGGTGTCCTGAGAGAAGGCTTCCCAGGGGCTCGGGGTGGGCAGGGTCTTCCTAACTGCCCTTCCTGCAGGCCTGTGCCCCTCAAGAGGGGACCAGTTTTTTTCCCACAGTGGTGGCGATGGGGCTGGGAACCAGACCTCCGGCCACAGCCTCCTGGGAGCAAGTTGTGGCTCCCAGCCAAAGGGAGCAGTCAGGGCACTGGGAGTCTAAGCGGGAGGAGGAGCCGGCTTCCCAGAAGTCCCTGAGGGGGGCCAAGGAGGGGAACTTCCTAGAAGCAGAGTGAGATTGGTGGGCAGGGCACTGGCTTGTGTAAATCGGGGCTCCCAGCGAGTTTAGGGGAGGAGTTTGCTCCCAAGTCTAAAGTGCTTCAGCCACCTGGCTGTAACAAGGGGCTCAAACAAGAACAATTGTGAGGATGGTGCAGGACCCAGCAGTGTTTGGTTTTGAACATAAGCCACTGAGTCAAAACTGACTCACAGCACCCGACACCACCTGGGACTAAGGGACTCACCCCTACTGGCACCCTCTGTGCACAGGCTGCTGTCCTAGGGAGCCAGTACTACTAGAGGCAGATGCTGATCAGAAAACTGAAAGCCAGGCTGGACTGGCTAACTCCGCCACCATTTCTGAGTGCCTAGGACACGTTCAGGTGGAGGGAGCATCCTATACAAAGGTCTGGCGGGGAGGGTGTTGCTGCAGGGGGTCTCGCCGGGGCCCTGTTTATACTGCACGTAGCGCATGGTCAGTGGACGGAAGTCCAGAGGATGTTTGTAAACGAAGACTCATTCTATAAACTTAAGCGTCCACTGTGGGGGCGGCGGGTCCGCCCACGGCTTCCACGTGCGGTTCTGCTAGTGACAGGGCAGGTGTGGCCAGCTGCTCTCCCCGAGGAGAACAGGCCCTGGACGGGACGGGGGAGGGGCCAGCGTGGCGCTCCACCGGCGACCCCCTGGGATGAGGCCGCGAGGGATTCGGTTGGCGCAAGAGCACGTGGTTCCCTCCGCTGGGTGGATCCGCCGGGTCCCCACACCCTCCTAGTCACCCCGTGGCCGTGCCTGCCCGCTCAGTAAGTGTCCCGACCGCGCGGAGCCCGGGCCAGCGCCGCCTCGCTCCCGCCCTTCGCTGATCCTCTGCTGCCCCCCAGCGGCAGTCTCGGCCGCAGACCCGGAGCGAGAAGTCCCGCCCTGGCCGCACCGATTGGTTCTCGCGCTGAGGCCTAGGCTCTTGATTGGTTGGCCTCAACGGAGTCACGGGATTCAGATGACAAGCGCGGACGCGGAGTGGTCAGACCGGGGTCTGCGGGGCGGGGCATCGTGGTGGCCCCGCCCCCAGGAGCCGACATCGCTGCCGGCTGTCGGTGCCCGGCGCCGAGGCCGTTATGGCGGCCCCTGGCCAATGCGCGGACGGCTCGTGTTGCTCCCACGAAAATGCAGCGCCCAGCGTGCAGCAGACGCTGGAGGAGATGGACTTCGAGAGGGGTGAGGCGGGCGTTTAGGGGGCGCCCTTGGACGCCGCGCAGAGGAGGTGGGAGGTGGCCCCGTTTGTGCCTGGGCAGGGCGCGGGGCCACTTGCGACCGAGCCCATTCGGATTGTTGCGACCCGGTGTGTGTCCGAACAGCACTGTGCTCCATCGGGCGTTCAGTGAGTGATTTGTCAGAAATGTCACCAGGCCTGCCTTTCTTTGGACAGCCTGTGGGCTAGTGACTGAGCGTGGACTCCGGCGGTCACCGGGGGGCCCCTGTGGGAGGCCGGTAGGGAGGCCCAGCACTGGTCCCAGTGACCTTCCCGACTCCTAACCAGGTGCGAAGCGGGGACCTGCCAGCCTGCCCAGGTGTGCCCCAGGTCCCCACCCGTCCGGAGGGAATGGAGCTTCGGGCCCCTGGGGGCTGTGCCCGGGAAGGAACAGACACTCCCCGAGCCTAGGCTACCCACAAATAGCCCTGGAGACAGGTGTTGCTGCCTCCACCTGGGCGCCCTGGAGCGAGCTAGTTTTCCCCAGTTCTACTGAAGCTGCGAGGCCGGTAAGGAACCGGGAGAACGGCGCCTTGGCGGCGCAGTGGTTAAGTGTAGAAATGCCGCGCAGGTGGAACCCATGCGCTGCAACCGCAGGAAGCGGTTCTGATGACGGTGGGTTTGTTGTTCCGTCTCAAGCACCAGAGAAAGGCAGGTGCCACTGCGCTGTTTGCGCGTTGGTGCCGGGTCGATTATCAAGTACTAGCCCAGGGCTGCTGTCCGTTGTAGGGAGGCTCTGCAAAGTGGCTCTTCTCTTCCTGCCTCACCCCCACCTGTGGCAGCATCCTTTGGGCCGACACACTTCCCACCTGTGATGTTGCTTCCTCTCCACACCGCAGCCAGAGCCACCTTTTGAAAAGGTGAACTCAATCGTCATTTCACTTCTCATCGCTTTTAGAATAAACCCAAATTCGCCACAGTCACTGCCCATGGAAACTGGAAGCACCAGTCGAGAAATAAAATGTATTGCACTGGGCAAATCTGCCGCACAGGACGTATTTAAAGTGTTAAAGAGCAAAGTTATCACGTTGAGGACTAAAGGAGCCGGCGCTAAAGCCAAGGTATTTTCAACTGCCTCATACACATGGGGAGCCCTGGTGATGTATGTAGTAGGTTATACATTGGGCTGCTAACCACAGGTCAGCAGTTCAAAACCACCAGCTACCCATTGGGAGAAAGATGAGGCTTTCTGCTCTTGTAAAAATTTAGAGCCCTGGAAATCCACAGTTGTACCCCGCCCTAAAGGGTTACAATGAGTGAAAATGTGGTGGCAGTGGTTATACACTGGGCTGCTAAGGACAAGGTCAGCAGTTGGAAACCCCAGCAGAGCCACAGGAGAAAGACGAGGCTCTCTATTCCTGTTAAGAATTACAATCTCAGAAACCCACAGGGGCAGTTCGAGTCTGACCTGTCAGGCTGCTGTACGTCGGCATCTATTCCCTCCGTGGCAGTGAGTTTGGTTTGGCTTGGGTTTGCCGTTGAAGTGGATGCTGGAAACAAAGAGGCCTGCTTGCCCAGGTCACGCACGGACAGGGGGTGTCACCCGAAGGGGATCCAGTGTCTCACTCAGAGCCTGTGCCCTGTGCCCCTGCCCCCTTGCCGCCTGCCCGCCTGACTTTTGCTCTCTGACTGTGGTCTCTGCCCCTGAAGCACTATGCCAGCCTGGGCCAGGCGGTTTCAAGTAGAGCGCCATGGCTCACCCCTCCCCTGGTCCTGTCCAGTCCAGTGCTCGGGGAGCTGCTGGCCACACCTGCCCTGTCACCAGCAGAACTGCACGTGTCAGCCAAAGGCATCCACAATGGGTGCAGAAGCACCTTCTGGACTTCTGTCTACTGACCGTGTGCTACGGCCTGCATATACTCCAGTCATCATTCTCCTGGCCCTTCAGGCCACAGCGAGACCCCTGCGGCAACATTCTCCCTGTCCGACCTTGGTATAGTGTGCATTTGACTCCAGCTGAGCTGATGAAAGCCGGCCATGGATAGTAAAGGCCAAAGAAGAATTGATGCCCTTGAATTAGGGTGCTGTCAAAGACTCGCTGAAGTACCGTGGACTGCCCGGGAACAAACCAACCTGTCTTGAAGGAGGTACAATCAGAATGCTCCTTCAAAGCAAAGGTGGCAAGACTTGGTCACACTCGCTTTGGACATGTTATCCGGAAGGACGAAGGGCTTCATGCTGGGTAAAAGTGAGGGCCTTCGAGGAGATGGAGTGGCGCCGTGGCTGCAGCCGTGAGCTCAAACGTGACGATTGTGCAGGCCCGGGCCGGGTTTCCTTCTGGTGTACGGTTAGGGTTGCCTGGAGTCAGGACTGAATCGGGGGCACCTAACAACGAACGACCGTCAAACTTTGGTTTCTGTGCTTCTGCCTGTTTAAGACGCTTTTAAAATTTGCTTTCAAAAAGCGCTTTATTGTGAATGAGGTGAAGGTTTGCAGAACAGATGGTAGATTTACATCTGACAATTCATACACACGGTGATGCCACCACCCGCTGCCCTCCCCTGCCTGTCCCCTCATGTCCCAATTCCGCTGCCTTTCCTGTTGCTGTTCGTCCTCTTTTCCTTAGTTCTGAACGCTGTCCCTGGGTAAATGTTGGTCTTCAGTGGTTGATTATGCTAACACGGGTGAGGTCAATGCTAGACTGAAGAGCAAGGACCATGGTCTTGAGGGTTCTGCCACTCTGTCCGACCGGGAAGCCTTGGGTCTTTTACAAATTGGAATTTTGTCCTTCATTTTTCCTCCCCCTTGATCCACGAGCTCCTAGTGCGATCCTCAGTTGTTCTGGTCTCGGTGTTGTGGAGACTGGCGCTTGCATGGTCCATTGTCCGCTGGACTGACCGTCCCCATGCGTCTTCGATTTTCACCTTTCCTTGGGATGGGGAGAGGCCAAGGGCTGCACCTTAGACGGCTGCTCCCAAGCCCGAAGGCCCGTTGCTGCTCAGCCGCGTAGGATGTAGAACATTGTCCGGGCAGCAAATCACGACATTTCCGTGGCTTTCTCTCGCCTTCCGGGTGAGGTGGGAAGAAGGGATTTCTGTCACCCAGTCTGCTGCCTGTCAGTCTTAGAACAGCCCTCCGCACAGGGGCAGTGCTCAGTTAGAACTTACCCAATGAATGAAGGCACAGATGAGAAGCGCTGAGGTCAGGAGGCGAAGGTTCCCGTCGGTCAGCCGTGCTCAACACTCTGGCTGTCCTCCTGCAGGAATCTGGTCAGCAGCCCTGAATGGAGACCTTGGCCGGGTGAAGCATTTGATTCAGAAGGCAGCGGACCCCAGTCAGCCAGATGCGGCCGGCTACACAGCTCTGGTGAGCTGCGGTGGGGGGATGGGGCAGGGCAGGGGGCCAGGAGAGAGACACGCCAGCCTGGGGGCTCCCAGCTCTCTGAGGAAGGGGGTTTGTTGGCCTCTTGTCTTCTCTCTCTTCTTCCTCCCCTCAGCAAAGGTTCCACTTTCAGTGTCATGCGAACCCGGCTATTTGAATTAGTGCAAGGGTGTTAGTCCAGGTAAACTAGAGAAACAAATCCAGGGAGACTCATGTGTATAAGAAAGAGCTTCATATAAAAGAGCAGTTGAATATTGAGAAAACATCCCAGCCCAGTCCAGATCAAGTCCATAAGTCTGATATTAGTGCATATGTCCGATACCAATCTATAAAGTCCTCTTCAGACTCACGAAACATGCAATGACGTCATATTCAGGATGATCACAGGCCAGTGGGTGGAAAGTCTTATGGATCCAGTGGCATTGTAAGCATCTCAATGCTGGTAGGGGTCTCCACATGGCTCCTTCAGCTCCAGGGCTCTAGCATAGCTCCATGTGTCTTGTCAGCAGGAATGTCTCGCAGGCAGTGAGCCACTCCTTCACTCTTAATAGTCTTAAGATAACAGATGATGTAAATACCCCAGCACGTGCCTGCCATCAGTCATTTAATTTCATTTTCGTAGCAGTCCGGTGAAGCAGAAATCATTATTAGCCCACCTTGCAGTTGAAAAGAGCCCTGGTTTTGTAGTGGTGATGCACTGGGCTGCTAACTGCCAGGTCTGTAGTTCAAAACCACCAGCAACTCCACAAAAGAAAGATGAGACTGTCGATTGTCAAGAGATACCGTCTCCGAAACCCACAGGGCCAGTTGACCCTGTCCAGTAGGGCTGCCTGCCGAGAGCCGACACGGACTTGCCGGCAGTGAGTTTGGTTTGGTTTGGGTTCACAGGGGAGGCAGTGGATATCCAGGTCACACACTGACGGGGAGGCGCCCGGAGCGGAGCCGGTGTCTCGCTCCCAGCCTGTGCCCCTCACCACCCCGGCCCCTTGCTGCCTGCCCAGGCCCTCTGATCCTAATCGTGTTCTCTGTCCCTGCAGCACTATGCCAGCCGCAATGGGCACTACGCGGTGTGCCAGTTCCTGCTGGAAAACGGAGCTCGGTGCGATGCCCAGACCCACGGCGGTGCCACCGCCCTGCACCGCGCCAGCTACTGCGGCCACACGGAAATTGCCCGGCTTCTGCTCTCCTACGGGTCCAACCCCAGGGTGGCAGATGACGATGGCATGACCTGTCTGCATAAGGTTTGTCCCTGTCCCCCGTCTCATGGGAAGGGCTACCACCCCGGGGGTGTCGGGAAGAAACCAGAGGAAAGGGGAGTCATTTGTCGTTTCGGTACCTGCAGCTCCACGTCTGAGGGGGGGTGTGTTATTTCTCCCGAGCATGTAAATTCCAGTGACAGCGCCCAGTGTGGTTTCCACTCCCTTCCATGGAAGGAGGCCTTCCTAACGCTTTTCCGGGTCTGGCTTTCCTCCCTCTCGTCTTGGCCATCTTGCCTGCCACTCTGGTCCCTGGTCCCTGGGAGAGCCAGCCTACACGTGGTCAACCGCCTGAGGCCTACAGAAAGACGTCCTTTCAGCCGGCATTTCCCTTGCGCCCGAAGCCCTGTGCCACCTAGTCCTGCCTTGGCTGGCCCCGGTGTCTTAAGCGGCTCTGTACATGTTGTGGGTGTCTATATGGAAATCTTTTCTTCTCCTGGCCCGGTGTGCTTTTCTCCCAGACTGATGGCCTTCCAGAGCAGCTCTGAGCATCCCACACCCTCGCTTGGGGTCCTCCAGTGACCTGCCTCTTCATTTGCATCGCGGGCAATCGTCCCCGTACACTCAGGCCCTGCTAGTCTGCTCCAGACCCTTGGACCTCCTGCCTTCTCATCCCAGGGCCATAGATCACACCTGCTCCCCCGGCCGGGTGCCTCTGGCCAGCTGGTTCCTTTCTGCCCTCCCCTCTGGACCTGAGAGCCTTTTCTGACCCCCAGACATGGTTAACTCACCCAGTGGTGGTGGCCCCAGGCACCGGCCCCTGACCTGTCCTAACTCTGATCCTACTCGAACTGCTCTGCACGCATGTGAACAACAATGGAGAGCGGGTATTTTTGGTTTTTTTGGTCCTTGTCAGTTGGGTTATTTTGTAGTGGTCCAAGCTGGTGTTCCTGAGACCCTGCTGCCCGACCGCCGTCCCCAAGGGAGGTTCCTGGGTAGACTCCGGTGTCCCTCCGCAGGGCCTCAGAACCCCATGTGAGGGATGTGATTTGTTCCTCTTTGGTTTGCAATCACCCAGCCCTGCTGGCACTGTGGGCGAAGGTCTTGGGCTGCTAACTGAAAGGCCGGTGGTTCAAACCCACCAGCCCCTCTGTAGGAGGAAGATGAGGCTGGCTGCTCCCAAGGTCATTGTGAGTCAGCATTGGCTTGGTAGCAGGTCTGTTTGTCTGTTTGTTTGTTATTTTCACAAATATTGGTGCAGGATGGATGTATTTTTGTAAAAATGTTTGGGGTGCGCCTCACACCACCCGGCACAAACTGCCATCCACAAGGAGGCACAGCGTTGAGAGGGACCCTTGGGTGTGTCCTCATCAACAAACCAACATCAGCCTCAGTTTCTTCAGCTCTGAAATGGGACTCAGGAGGGTGCCTCCCTCTGAGGGTTATATGACGGGGAAGTCAGGTGATCTCTGTCAATCACCTGGCTCTTATTTTTCTCAGAGAGCAAAAGGAGATCCGCCCACCCCATCCCAGGGCAGGGCCGGCCGTGCCCACTGCATCTGCCTGTGCTCCTGGTGCCGTGAACCATCTCAGAGACCTGGGGGTTGTGCGAAGGCAGCTCGTGTGCCCGGGGCTCTGCATTCGCTGGTTCCTTGGCTTTCAGGAAGCAAGTATCTGCAGAATAGTCAGTCTCATTACTTATTTATTTTTAACACACACATTGATGGCAACCTCTTCAATTGCACAAGTATTTTAAAAGCAATCGCTGATAGACCACCTGAGGCTATTAACCAGTTCAGAACCCAAACCAGACCCCTGGCATCAAGGCCATTGGGGCTCATGGCTGCTCTCTGTAAGGCTGTGAGGCTGCTATCCTCCCATAGCACAGTTGGTGGGTTTGAACCTCCGACCATGTGGTCAGCAGCCCGGCACCACCCGCACTCCTTAAAATTCATGCATTGCGTCCTGCAAGTAGACAGAAGTGTTTTAGAGAGCAATTTGCTATAATGCAGATGTATTAATTATTAATTTTGTTTGGGTTGTCATTGAGAATGTGCAGAACCCATTCAACACCGACCCATCACAGGCTTCCGGCTGTGCCCCCTCCTCATTCTCCTTTGTCAGGTGTCTCGTCCCCACCAACAGAAACTTCTCATTGCCAGCAAGCGGAGGCCAACTCCTACCAGCCCCCCAAAGTACACCTGCCCCTGTGCATTCCCAAGGCTGGAACTCAGGATGGGAGCAGAAAGCCTCCTCTTAGGTGATTTCAAACCGCTGACCCTGCAGTTAAGCCCAACCCACTTCCCCACCAGGGCGCCTACAACATAAGCCCGCTGCTTCCTACCTGTCCTCTCTAGTGTTGCCCATTTGATCCCACATCGTCTGTAAATGAGCATAATGCTCACCGCAAGCTTTCTTCACTCGAACCAAGCAAGCTCACTGCCTCGCGTGATGCGACTCACAGCGACCTTGTAGGACAGAGCGGAGCTGCCCTCCAGCAGTAGGAAGCTTCATCTTTCTGCCCAGGTGTAGCTGGTGGTTTCGGCCTTGTGCTCAGCCCAGCTCATCACTACCACCACACCAGGGTGACGGGAAACCACTGCTGGGTTTTAAGAAGACTTCAGGGACTGTTTTTGGTTTGCAGTTTAAAGATTTGTGTTTCAGGGGTCCATCCAACCTCCGTGACTCCAGAAAGTCTCGATTTCAAGAGCCTTTGACATTCTGTTCTGTGCTTCCTGCCTTTTGATCGGGATTCTTCTTCTGACACCTGTATAAAAACCCTTAGCTGTGGGAGACGGACGGTCTGTATTTCTCTTACATGTGCCGGCCTGGCCTGACTCAGGCAAGAGTAGCTGGGGTTGGTGGGGCTTTGGCTGGGGAGCTGCACACAGCCAGCGGCTCCCATTGCCACCAACCTCTTCTCTAGGAGCAGGAGGTCTCCAGCAGGGTGTGTGGGGGGAGCGGCGGTGGTGGCATGGGTTTGAGCCAGGCCTCCCTCTCCCTCCCCAGGCTGCGGAAAAGGGTCACGTGGATATTTGCTGCCTCCTTTTGCAGCACAGCCCCAGCCTGAAGTCTGTCCGTGACCAGAAGGCACGGCTAGCCTGTGACCTGCTGCCCTACAACAGTGACCTTCGGGACCTGCTTGCCAGCTGAAGTGCCATCTGTCCATCTGTCCGTCCGTCCGTCTGTCTCTTGTCTGTCTCAGGCTGTCCTGCACGGGCACCAGACTCAGTCTCCCAGGTCTCCCAATTGAGGGCAGCATCTCCGCGGTGGGGGCCACTGGGAGGCCCAGGAACAGCCCCTCTGCTGGCCACTGAGGGAGCAGGGAGCAGGCTGGTGGGGGTGGGGTGGTGAGAGCAATGCCACCTGGGCCGATCCTCCTATTCTAAATGAGCCCCCAAGCAATGCCTCTCCCTTTGGGGAGAAAAATCAATAAAGTTCGATGCCTACCTCATCTCAGAAAAATTAATCTCCAGGAGGTTGAAGACCTACGTTGGTTTGTTTGTTTTTTAAGCAACGATGTATTATAAAAAAATAGGGAAAACAACAAAAAAAGGAAAAGAAGTACTATGTGATACATTCCACGTTCGTTCCAGCCGTGTGGCCTTCCTGGACGTCACTTGGGTCCTCCCACTGCGTCCATTCTCAAGTGAGCAGGCTGGTCGGAGGGCCTGCCTCAGCCCTCGCGGGAGGAGTGGGCGAAGATGGAGAAGCGCTAGGGAGAGTGGACAGCACCCGGCCCAGACAGGCAGGCCTTGCGTTTATGCCGGATTTCATCCCTTCTAGCGGTCCAGTGGGCAGACGGGCCACTGCTCTGCATGTTTCCCCTGCTCACAAGCTCCGTGTCTTCTGTGAACCTCTGTCCATATCCTTTGCCCATTTTTAAAAAGCTGTTTATTGATTTTTAGGGATGTTTTAAAGATATATTTTGGATGTTGATTCCTGCTTTTATTTATATATGTGAGATTATATATATATATGTATATATATATACATATACCTTTTTTTTAATCCCCCAAAGTTCATGGCATTCCCTCGTAGTTCCAGTTTTCCAGAGGTCCTTTCATCTGCTTTTCCACAAACATTTCGAAGCCCAGCTCAAATCCGCCAGCTGTTCCACAGGGAAGGACGGGGCTTTCCCTTCCCATAAAGAGTTGCCGTCTCAGAAGCCCACAGGGGCAGCACTGCCTGTCCGGCAGGTATGTGTTATGTCAACTGCACCCTGTGAGAAGGTGGGGTGGAGTCAGACCTGGCAGTCAGGTCCCAGCCTGAGGATGGGTGTGGCCTTTTGCGAGGGGAGAGAGTGGGAACTTAGCCTCCCGCCTTGCTGGGACCTCACTCGACCCTGTCTGACCAAAGGGGCGGCCCCCCTGTGGGCCACCGACTTGGAGAGCCCTGCCTGAATCCGCGTGACTCTACGCCCACTGGCCTGTGATGTCCCTGCTTCCCGCACCTTTCTGCACCGGGCCTGCAGCTCTGTGGTCTGCAGGGCCCCCGGCTAGCATTGGCCCATGGGCTTGAGCTGGATGTGGCTGGGGTGCCTGCTTGATAGTAAGTTACTTCTTGTTATAAGCTTCCTTCTAAGACATACACGAGTGCCACGGGTTTGTTTCTCTAGACAGCCCGGCCAAACACAACTGTGCCACAGCGCTGCTGTGCTTCGGAATCAGTGAGTATTGCCGTCACGTCGACTACAGGGCAGCACAGGAGAGCTGCCCTTGTGGGTTCCTGAGACGGAATCTTTATGCTCCCATGGAGCAGGTGGTGACTTCAAACCGCTGACCTTGTGACGGGCGGCCCAGTTTGTAACCCACTGCGCCACGAGGGCTGTGTGTGTGTGTCACTTGTCTTAACTTTGTGCAAGCAAAGAGACTTTGTAGCAGAGGCTTTGGCAATGTCTATTCAAATAATTTGATTTCTCCGCGGCTGCCCCAGGGGAACGGGTGTGCGTTTAAATAGACATGCCCCGGAGCATGGGATCAAATGTAAAGGGAAAGAAAAAGTGGAGATCACCTAACTGCTCACGGATATGGGAATTG